CATATATGAATATAACAGTGACTTTCATATTTATGTATATCTACAAAGCACCAATTAAAAATAAATAAATAGGGGGAAGACTAGTAAAGTAGAGGAAGGAGAACAGGGGAAGGGAAGAGGGGAGGGAGAGAGGAAGCACTGGGAACTGAAATGGAGCAAATTATATTCCATGCATGTATGATGTCAAAATGAACCACACTATTATATTTAATTATAATGTGCAAGTAATAATATTTAAAATATGTGTACAAGGACATTCAGTATTGCATTTTAATGAAAATTATTATTATATCCAGAGAATCATTAAGTACCTTATTATTTAGTCACCCTAGAGTACTAGATTTTAGTTCAAAAGATTGACAATGTAATAATGATTTTTAATGAATGTTTATTATGTGTCGGATATAATGCTAAATGTTTTGTCTTATATTATTTTTTGCTACCTATAGTCATTTCTAATCATTAATTCATTGATGCATATAACAATAATTTTTTGTACCTACTATGTGCCAGTAATAATATCTGCCTACTTATTCCATAAAAATGGACTCAATTTTCCTGAACCAATAGCTCCTAATCTCTTTAGCATTATAATTTCCTTTGAGAAGCTGATGAAAGCTATGCTCCTTGTTCCCAGATAAATAAAATTTCTTTGGAGGATCATAAACATCCCCCTTAAGTTCTAGCAATTCTGTGGGACCTCAGACCAGGTTCATAATTTTTGTACTGGTACAGTGGTTCAAGTGCACACAAAGGTCAGATTAGGAGGTAGGGTGGGGCAGAAGGCAAGGACAAACAGAAATCTTTGGTAGGCCAGCATGTATGAAAATACTGGTTAAACGAAGATTTTTCTGCCAGGATGCTAAGATGTCAGGATGCTCAGGCCTCTTAGTGTATATTAATAGTGACACTTGGGCCAAACACTCCCATTTCCTCAGCATCCCCCTCACCATCCCCCCATCCTCTATCTCCAACTCCCAGGCCTGGACAACCTAAGTACAGGCCTGGATGGACAGTCTTTCCATTCCTTCTTCAACTCCAGCCATCACAAGGCCAAATGTAATTAGCCATGATCCCACACCTTCTGTCCAAGTGGCTGGAGAGCCTCTCCCGCCACCTGGGCATGGGGTTTTAACATAAATCCTTGCCTCCTGCTTTTTTTCTCCTGCCTGTGGACATGTTCATAATTGTCAGGCAGGCTAGTAGTAGGACATCTGCTTGAGAAGTCACAACTTTCATAATTTACCAGTGTTTCAACTCAGCAAAGGATAGGCAACACAAAACCTGGGGTCATTTCTGATTCTTCATGAAACAGATAGGAGATGGGACTTATGAGTCAAAGAGGTTTATTAGGGATTAACACCAGTAAAAGAGGGAGGAAGCAAGGGTGGGCAGGAAAGTCTTCAGACCTTGAGGTTTATCTAGCATTTGTGAAAGGAAATAAGGATAAAAGCAGAATAAGGCAAGCAGTGATGTGGCTTGACGAAGTCTCAGCCAGTCCACAGAGTTTTGTGGAGCAAAGATAGTCCATCAGAGAAGTCCTGCACTGGATGGAAATGGCAAGGTTTTAGCATGCTCACTGTGCTCAGTTATTTACTAGAGTCATGCAGCAGACTCTGCGCTCAAATACTGCAGCAGAGCCTTCAGGTGCTGCAGATGGAGGCTCTCAGCTACCTGTAATTAAAGCTCAAAGGTAAGCTCTTTCTTAAAGGGAGAATTGAACAGTGTTCACAGCTGCCACACCTCTAAACCCCTTTAACCACCTAGATGATTAACAGGATGTCTGTATTTAGGCAGACCAGCAGGAGTGTGAGGCATCACCTTATTTATGATGCTTCTAAGACAGCATATACAATTTGGGCTTGCTCCAGTGGGGGTGAGAGAGGCTCCAACCTTGGGCTATTGTAATTTCTTTTCCAGACATTTGTCTAAGCTTTACATTAATTTACTTACACATTTGGCCTTCTGTATCTATGGGTTCACATTTGGGGATTCCATCAACTGCAGATGAAAATGTTCAGAGAAAGAATTGCTTCTGTACTGACTACAGACATTTTTTCTTGTCATTTTCCCTGAACAATACAGTATAACAACTATTTACATAGAATTTATATTGTATTAGGTGCTGTAAGTATTCTAGAGATGATTTAAAGCATACTGGAGGTTGTGCAAATTTATATAAGAAACTTGAGCATCCACAGATCGTGGTATGGGGGAGTCTTAGAACCAATTCTCTCCTGATATGCAGGGATGACTGTGTGTGTGTATGTGTGCGTGCGTGTGTGTGTGTATCATTCATATATATATATATATACACACACACACACACACACACACACACACATACACTTGAACATGCTTTTCATGTTAACACTTGGTTCTAGAAGTCTTCCAGCCAGGGAAGTTAAGGAAATAAAATTGCTTGCAAAGATGTGCAATGAGTGGATACATGTATATACTTGATATATGGGCAGCTAACCATCCCTCAGTTTTGACTTCAACCATTTACAACACAACAATTGTGAACTGTACATTAAGAATATGAAAGGTCTGGTCTGAGTCCTGCTTCTGCCACTAAGTGGGAAGAATAACAGATATAGTGCCCCCAGAAAGATGGGAGAAAGGGTCATGGAAGTAGGAGGACCTCTAGTTCCAAGTTTTGTCATTGGCATCCCAGAGATTTGAGTGTGTGTGTGTGTGTATATTTACATGTGTATATGTGTGTGTGTGTGTGTGTGTGTGTGTGTGTGTGTGTGTATACAAACACATGCACCTGAACATGAGATTTTCAGGTGCAAGGGTTTCCTTTATCACCATGCCTTCCCTTCCAGAGTTATTATAAATTACCTGTTCAGGGAAAGCTGTTTTTTCTGGTTTCTCTTGCTGCTTCCTCCCCTTTTATTTTCAGGTGTTTGGAAAGCACCATCTTTCCAAATGTTCTCCAAACCCCTACCTCTGCCTGCAGCTAATTTTTCCTCTGGCTCCTTCCCCCAGGCTTGACATTTCTGGAAAACTTTAAAGTCAAGTAATTGTTAATTCTGAGGATGAGCCCAGACCACTGGGAATCCTGGCACTACTAATGAACAGATTAGCAAATTAAAGAAATCATTCCCTGAGACTCTTTCAAGAGCCATAAGCCTGGGATATGGGGTCAAAAGTGTCAAGGGAACAAAGCATGTTGGCCACCTCTGGAACCTCAGGGATCCAAGGTGGACCATGGTACCTGGACTTGGTAAATGTTGCAGGCTTCTCTTGTTGATTTCTTGCCCTTGAGCAAGAAAAGTGGAATTAATTTATCAGCCCACCCCTTTCTCTCAAAAATGTAGTCAGAAATTGCTAATCATTCCTTCAAGGACCCGAATCTTATTTTTTACAGCAACATAGCCAACTTTACCCATTTTGATTCAAAACTTTTTATAGAGCTGAAATAACCATCTTTTAAAGACAGTGGAAAGGATAAGTGTCTGATTGTGGACAGTAAGCCCTACCAATTAATTTTACCCTAAAAGAAAGAATTTGGGGACTAGAAAAAGTCAATCACAAAGCCAAAAATATAACCATTGTATTTGTGCAGCACATGGTACGCACAACTCCCTAGCAGGCCAAACAGAGCAAATATCTCCACTCAACAGCTGAAGACAGGAGCCCAGAGTAAGCAAATTGCCTAAGGTCACAATGTAGTAAGGGGCAGAATGACCTTAGAGTACATCTCTTAGGGTCTGAGATCAGGATTTGCTCCTTAGAGACCACCACAGACTTTGTCAAACGAGAGATGCTGATATGCAGGTGTTTGGGTGTTTAAGGAGGGTGGGAAAAGAAAAAAAAAACTGTGAAACTGACTTAAAATTTATTGAAATATAGCTTATGCAATATTGAATCATGTTCAAAAGCAGCTCTAATGAGATGCCTTTATTATCTGAGTGAGCATCAGAAACAGAACAAGTTCATTTGTTTCTACTCCTTTTCACTACCTCATGCTATTCTCAGATTATGCCTAAAGACTAACCTAAACATTTGCTTTCTTAGCGCTGAACTTCTGGTGCAAATGGAGGAATGGGAAGAATACAATGCTGCCCTTTATGGCCATCAACAGATATGACAAACCTGAGATGAGAAAGAAATTTCTGACAACTTATAAGTCAGTGTAATGTCACTAACATATGGCACCGTTTTTTGGAAGCTGGCCCTACATCCCTAAGAAAAAAATGCCAGTTGAAATAAGCTTCCTCAGCTTTTTTGTTTTTCAAAGTGTTAGTACAGCCAGTTAAATAAAAGTTTTAAACATCAACTGAGCTGGTTATGGCTAGCATTTTCAAAAAATAGAATTTAACAGAAAATGCCAGGAATACATTGCACGTGTAATCATTTTTTTCTGTTTATTTATGCATCTGCATATTGGGTTATGATGTAAAAGATGAATTATTGTGAATCAGGAAAATTCTGAAAGCCATCTAAGGATACATGTGCCTCAATCCCAGATTTATGCTGGATTCCAAGACCCTTCATGGGACATAATTCCAACAATGCCCTATACTTGTCTTTTAGTGATGTTAAAATGTGAAAAATATGTGCATCTTTGAAGACATGAAAATATTTGATTTTAATGGTTATTGGCTCTTCTCATTCTTCCTAAAAAATGTCTGTCAACATATTTTAAATATAGAATTAAATTTAATGGAAACATTTTTTGTGGAACTCATCTGTACTTTGATTTCACTGCCTTCTGAATATACCTTTTGGCTAGTTTCTCAAGGCTAGGATTTCTCACTTCTTACCACAGTCTTCACTAGTACCTCAAACAGGTGATCTTGGGAATGTGAATACATGCAGAAAAAGAGGAAGAATAAGGCAGTCTACAGAAAAAGTCCCTGATGTCAACCACTGTTTTCAACATTTTGATGCTAGTTTTAAATCTCAAAACCCTAAATATTGTAAAGAAGCAACCAGCTGTTTGGGAGCCTTAAAAACAAAAATCAAAACATCTTAAAACAAGCTTGAGAAAACTTTTCACAAGGCAAATTTTATTTTTCAAGCTATAAAAATATGAGCATGTCAAAAATAGTCTAGTCCATATAAGAGCAGTTCCAGCCATTTAAAAGTTATACAGATTTTGGAGAAAGCAATTCACAACCAGTCAATTCAGTTATTGCTAGTTATATGCAGCTTTTATTTGCGACTTATTCACAAGAGTAAGGGCAGTATTTGGGCATTTTGTTGCTGCTAGAGCTGCGGTTTTAAAAAAAATCAATTCAAAATAAGAATAAGCTCCCTTTGAGTAGGAAATAATGTGCAATTTTTGATCAGTACTAAAAGAAGGTGTGGTTTAAATGTCAGTTCCACCCACTTCTCTCGTTTAATTCTATTTTGATAGTATATCAGAAATACAGTGTATAGCTTTGGGCGAGTAAATGAATTGCTGATTTTAAGATTAAGTAATAAGAAACATTAATCTTGGTTGCAATGTAGAAACAAAGCTGGCATATCTAGTTTTAAAACATTATAAATTGCAAATATTTTAAAACAATAAGCAAGAACCAGAGCTAGGTTATTCTTTTCCTTTTCAGTAGTCAAGACATAAAATTAATCTATTTGTTCTTTTGAAGTTTATCATGAAGATCTGTTGTTCTCTATTTTTCTCTCAAAAAAGGCAATGAGATAGTCATGTTAACAGGAACATGTTTTAAAATAAATGTGCCCAATGTCATATGGAAGAACGAATCACAAACCAAATAATTTTAACTTTAAATAATAGATAATACAGTTAACAGCACAAAACATGGGGGTGAGTAATACATAGGAATCTTTGGGCCTAAAATTCACTGGAAGACTTAGTTAAGGGTGTCACAAAGAGATAGCAATGGCTTTGTTTCCAACTTTCCTTCTAGACCCTGTTACAAGATTAGGCTTATTGCTGACATTCTACCCCCATAAGTTTTTGAATAAACAGATACATGATGGTGACAAGTATAAGGTGAAATATAAAGACCTTAAAAAATCATTCTTAGAACAAATGTGACACTCATGACATTTGGCAAGGATACATAATAACTTAGTGATTTAAATCCTAAAAATAGGTTACATTTTTAGGAGGTAGTAAACGAGTACAAAACTTTTACCATTTAGTCACACCCCCCCCTCACTTTTGGCTTCAACCTTGGATATTTCTACATTTCTCACTCCCCATTCTCCCATTAAAGCTATTAGTTCTTCTAGCACTCATTACTAAAATTTCTAGACCTGGAGCTGCCAAGATATATGTTTTTAAGAAGTCTTAATCCACCAAATGCACCCAACAATCAAGTGTCAATTTAAAATATTTTTACCTATTTAGTTATTAATTCACTTATAAAATAAAAACTCAAAATAAGAAAATTTAACACGAAAAAGTCTATTAAATATTCCACATGCAATTCTAATATGTCATAGTAGTTATGAACTGATAAACTTACTATATATTGCAATGCATTACCAGTGTTAACTGAAAATAGGCATGTGGTTTAGTAAAAATTCAACCTATTAACCGAAAAAAAAAATCCCACTTATTCCCAGAGAGTTATATTGTGTTGATACTCCACAGATAGTATTACAAAAGGATTCCATTTTTGCGATAGGCTGGGTTCACAGTGAGTATGTTAGTACCAAGATCATGTGTTTAACATTACTTTAAGAATGTCATTAGTGGAATGTATATAAGGCATGTAAAAAACTAGCATTAAAGCTCTGAAGGGCAACAAACCAAACTGGCAGCTGCTAGAAAAGGTGCTGCTAGGAATAAAAAAATACCAAAGAAACTTAGTTTCAGCACAAACCAGTTTACAGTGTTTTTCTAATTAAATGAATCAATTCACACAGACCTCTGCTTCATGAAATAGCAGAATAAAGAATAGACTTTTACCCCTTTAACTACTAGCCCAATCTTGAAAACGGAAGCAATCACTAGCAATCTTCCACACGGTGCTATTAGGAGTGGACTGAGCAGTCAGCAGAAAGTTCTGGTTGAAGTAATGTTGTTTGTTTCCATCAAACTTCACAGTTCCACTGGTCACAACAAGAACTGTAGTCTGGGACTGGGTAGCTTGCTCTTTGTCCAAACACAAAGAAGAAAGAGCTTAGTTTCTGTCTCTAAATAGGCAAATTTTCAGGCTACAATTGCTTATGATCTAATAATGAAATTTCCATAAACATTCTTTACCTTAAGCATAATCTTGAACATGTATGTTCAAATCCAGAAAATGAAATACTATTTTCAAAAATATCAAAATTACTTTTGATCTAGAAAGATTTGGGGGTAATCTGAAGTTTCAAAATAAAGAACTTATAGGACCATTTGCTTCCTGTATATATTAATATTTCATTAGCTTTCTAACAGAGCTTTATTGATATTTTACTTAAGTTATTCTTCAACAACTATAAAGGAAAAATAATCACCCTAAACAACTACTTAAGATACTAAGGACCCCACCTAGAGGTAATTATTATAAACTGCATCAATTTACTCTAAATCAAATTTTGTCTGGCTTAAAGTCATCCTTTCACATAAAAGAATAAATTTTCGTGAAATTTGAATATGCTGTAAAATACTGAAGCACATTAGAGATGGCATAAATTTTCTCTGGAAACAGGGTGTGATGATGTACACCTATAATCTCAGCAACTCAGAAAGCTGAGGCAAGAGGATCAGAAGTTTTAGGTCAGCCTCAGCAACTTAGTGAGACCTTGACACAAAATAACAAATAAAAAGGGCTGGGGATGTGGCTCAATGGTAGAGGACCCCTGAGTTCAACCCCCGGTACCAAAAAAAAAAAATAAAATCTCTGGAAATACACTTCATTAACAAAAATAATATTTAATCTCTATTTCTCATATAACTTTCAATGGGTCATAATTCCATAGACTACCAAAACCTATTAGTGATTCTATGGAGTGAGAAGCATCTAATGGAAGACCAAGATGAAATTTTCATATTTAACTTGCTCAAATAATATTTCTACCACTAAGTTATTTGCCACTTTTGGTATAAAAGCTTAATGCCCACTAAAGAAAACAAAGGAAGTAATTTGAAAGATCAACTTACCATGGACTGGTTGGCAATCTAACATATTGACCTGGAACTCACTAGAAGGCAACATCTCGAAAAAATTACTTAGGGCATCTAGCCCTGTAACAACATTTCCATTCCATATTAAAGTGGCCTTGTCCAAATACAGCCTGGTAAGTGCCTATAAAGAAAGAAAAGTTTTTAAAGGGATTTTTTTCCCTCAGATAAGCATTTTCTAGAAATGGATTAAAAGGTTGTGCATGGCATATAAACACTTTCACAGCTATACATCCATCTCCACTTCCTCTGCCCCATTGCCACCAGAAACCAATGTGAGCTAAGTGTCCATTTTATAGTTGGCCTTAAATATTATGCTATCATTTCTATATTATGCAATAAATACATTTTTCATATTTCCTTTTCAGTCATAATGAGAAAACCTTGCATCCAAACACAGAGTATTACAGTTTTGCTTTCTGTTTTAAATTGAATTAAATGATCACAAGTTCTAAGTACATACAGCCTCAAACCAATTTTGTTTTCTGTCCTTTTTTTTTTTTTGGGGGGGGGGGTACTGGGGATTGAACCCAGGGTCACTTGACCACTGAGCCACATCCTCAGCCCTATTTTGTACTTTATTTAGAGACAAGGTCTCACTAGTTGCTTAGCACCTCGTTTTTGCTGAGGCTGCCTTTGAACTCATGATCTTCCTGCCTCAGCCTCCAGAGCTGCTGGGATTACAGGCGTGCACCACCATGCTCAGATTATTTTCCGTACCTTTTAAAATGAGAATTAACAAAGTTCCAATTAAGCCCTACTATAATCCTAGTGGTTATATACATGAAATAATTTGGTGTTTGTATGTATAAGGAAAAATTAGTTCCTTTTGCTACTACTCTATTAGCATAATATTTCAAAAGCATCATGAGCATTTGTAGAGCTCATAATTGAAATGGTAAGTGAAAAAAGGGTCCACACAAAGGAAAATCCGAATTACCACTTTTTTTTTGTACCAAGGACTGAACCCAGGGGTGGCGCTTAACCACTGAGCCACATCCCTGCCCTTTTTATATTTATTTTTTTAAATTTTGAGACAGGGTCTTGCTTAGTTGCTTAGGGGTCACTAAATTGCTGAGATTGGCTTTGAACTTGTGATCCTCCTGCCTCAGCCTCTCAAGACCCTGGGATTAGAGGCATGCATCACCACACCTAGCTCAAGTTACCTCTTTAGGGTTAAGGGACATATAATTTGCTTTATTAAAATATTTAACAGGTCAAAAGACAACAGATGCTGCCTTTTATTACTACTCTATTTTTGAAAGCAGTGAGACACAAGAAACATTCATGACATGGAATAATACACATCCACTGCCAAACATCAGTGGCAGAATCATCTGTTATCTTTAAAAATAAAGCACAGTTTTAATGTTGATGGGAGACTTAGGTAAGACTCACTTGATCACATACTGAAATAATTACGTAGACATAGAGCCCAGTGATAAATCAATAAAAACACTGATAAAGTGATAACTTGGTCTGTTGAAGTAGAAGCATTAACAATATGTGGATTCTCTTTTAAGTGCCAGCTGTAGTTGTTGAGTCTTAAGTAGAAATTATCTATTAATATATTAAATAAGGAAACATCCCTGTAAAGACAGACTAGTACTGATATTTCTTTCACCATACTGGTTAAACAATGGGACTAAGAAAATGTTACATAATTAAGTAAATATATGCTGGGCTCCTCAGTGCAGTGCAGTATTTAAGTCTTATTAACTACCCTAAAAATAAAATGTGCTTAACAGAAATTAGCAATTCATTCAAGGACCTGGAAATAAAGGCAAACCTATGATATGATTCCAGATTCCAACTATCATTAATACCAAACCAATCTTTCCATAATCAATTGGTGTTAAACACATCCATAGTTATCATTTCTGCAAGTCAGATAAATAGCTGGCTCAAAAAAAAAAAAAAAAAAAAAAAAACCTGGTGGGGCTGGGGTTGTGGCTCAATGGTAAGAATGCTTGCCTAGCAGTATGAGGCACTGGGTTCAATCCTCGGCACCACATAAAAAAATAAACAAATTAAAGGTACTGTGTCCATCTATAACTAAAAATAATATTTAAAAACCTGGTATTTGGCCTGGGAATGTGGCTCAAGCAGTAACGCGCTCGCCTGGCATGCGTGGGGTGCTGGGTTCAATCCTCAGCATCACATAAAAATAAAATAAAGATGCTGTGTCCACCAAAAACTAAAAAATAAATAAAAAATTCTCTCTCTCTCTTTAAAAAAAAACCTGGTGTTTTAATAAAGTGGTATTACACTTACCCTTCTTCTTTTGTCCATTGTCTCATAGTAAATATTAACAAATTCCTCAGCAGCTCTACATGCCTGATCTACATACATTTTAAAATCCTACAAGAAAAAATACAGAAAATTATATTAGCATCCATTCAACCCCTCAGAAACACAAAACAAACAGAAGCTGATGATTTCCACCACTATGTAGCTTTTTATATAGAGTTCAAGTTCTTCCTCATAAATCTACACATTTTAAAAGTTAGGGCTTGAAAGATTCCAATTTTTAAAATTTTCACTATGTTTAGGTCAAGTTTTTTAGGGCATAATCAGCTCAGTGAATTTTTTTTTTAACTCTTCAAGCAGAAAAATTCATAATCTTTGCTTGGCAACTAAGGAAAGGAAGACTCAGAATTTTATAAATCATTAACCTTAAAATGACAGTTTGAACCTTAAAGCTGGGGAGAGGGTTGACTTATCTCTGAATAAGTTTGTAAAGGACTGAGTTCGTTTGTATGACCAATCTCAAAAGTTGCTCAATGAAAAAACTAGTTCAAGAACTACTTGAGAAACTGGACAGCTCCACTTAACAAACTTTCTCACATTACTTAAACATTCACTACTGTTTGTAAAAGTAGTATTAAACGGGATAGGCTGACGGGGTTCCTGCAAGAGGGTGAAGGACCAAGTACCTCCTTCCTCAGCTATTTACTGGGCTAGGACTATTATTTGAGTCAAAAATAATGAATCGCAAGTTTCATTTCCTTTTCAGGTGATCTAAAGTGATTCAGAACGGGAGAAAATACAAAGGACACGGTAAGCCATGAATAACAGACCAGAACACCCACCTTCCATTCCCCCACCTCAAGGTCCTTTCAGATACCATTAAGAAAACGCGCGGTTTGGGGGGCGGGCAGCAGACAGTGGGTCCCGCCCCGGAGGCCAACGGGCCAGACCCTGATTCGCCGTTTGACACGTGACCAACAGCCGGCACCCAGCTTCACGTCCCTCCCCTCGGCAGCCCAAGCCCCAGCGCCCAGGCGTCCTGCCGGGACCCCGCACACTCACCACCGACATGGTCCTAGGGGAGCTTGGATAAGTATGTTTCGGCTGTGGCGGCGTCACTATGTCCTCACGTGTTTGCCTCGCTCGGTTGCAGAATGAGGAAATATTTAGGAAAGCAGCGAAACCCGCCAAACGCACACAATTTTCTACCCGCCCATTCTCTCCCGGAAGTAGCTAGGTCCGTTGTAAAAGCACTCCGACGTCCCTACCTTAAGCCTTACCTCACTTCAGTTCCGACGGTGCCCTCCCATCCGCCTTACTTACTTCCTTGCTGGATTTAGTTTAAAAGTAGGGGGGGGGGGGGAAAATCCACTTTGTCTCGAACACTAAAATTAAAACTATCCCAATTTTCAAACACGCACCCCGGCTTAAACTGAAACGAAAGCGTCTAATTAGGGGGACTTCCTTTCTCCAGGAGGCGGGGCCAAAGACCACTGATTGACCACCACGAAAGGCTACTAGATTCTTAACCTAGGAAAGAGGGGTGGAGCTTGAAAAAAGGCTCACATACTGCACCTGACCGGTAAAAAAAAAAAAAAAAACTTTTAGAGTTCTGGAACTTTCTGGAAGAATCGACTCTGTGTCTCTGTGGTATGCCTAAAATTAGTAACTAAATGATTTTACACTCGCTATGTCCAAGAGAAAAGTTCATCCAGTTCCTCCTCACCATGGCTAGTCATTCCACTAAATAACCTAAAGGTTGAGTAGTGACTACATGCAAAAATACTTCTCTAAGTATTTTTACCTATATTCACTTACTGTTCATAGTAACTGTGAGGTAAATGCTATTTTATTATCATATTATGCCTACGAGTAATTATCCTGTCTAAAGTCACAAACTACTTGAGATTCAAATTCAAGTCATGTAAACACCGGCAATCTGGGCAAGGCGGCACACGCCTGTAATATCAGTGCCTCAGGCAGTTGAGGCAGCAGGATCGAAAAGCCAGCCTCTGCAATTTAGTGCCCTAAGCAACTCAGCTACTTAAGACTCTAATTTTAGAGACGCTGTCTCTAAAATATAAAAAGGGCCTGGGGATGTGGCTCAGTGGTTAACTGCCCCTGGGTTCAATCCCCGGTACCAGTAATAATAATAATAACCCTACCAAGGAGTGACCAACTGTCACTCCTTAGCCCTTCCGTAAAACTTCTCATCTTAAAGTCACAAGTGACTCGTGGGACTATCAAATCAAATACCTCCAGTAGTCTCACTATGAATAGCTTTTTTGTTGATCCTAACAGTAACAGCAGCTCCTTCTATAGAATCTTTCTCTGTCTTCTTGGGGCCAATCTCTTCTATATTTTCTCATATTTCTACTTCCTGACCTTTCTCTTACACCTGTTAGTTGACCTCTAACGGCTACTGCTGCTTCACTTACCTTTTTTCCTCCTCTGCAGGCTTCCGACTGGCGTCACATCCGGCGGCCCCCACTTTTAAAAGTCGGCCTCCTCCCACGTGATCTCAACTGCTACTCCTATGCTAATGCACCAGAGCAGCCAATCGCCAGCCTTGACCTCTAATCTGAGCTCCAATTACGCATGTGGGATTTTACCGAAGAGAAACACCAGAATGCGCTACTAGCTTCTTAACCTTATAAGTCTAAAATTTAAACTCATTATTTTCTGTGTCTTTCTAACCTCTGTAGTCTCTCCATCATCTATGCTTGAATTCTTGGAATCTTTGTTGTTGGAGTCTCATCTCCCCATCATCATCATCTTCATTCGTTCAACAAATATTTATTAAGCATTTACTATGTGTCAGACATTGTTAAAGGGTCTGGATATTGACTAGTGAACAAAGTAGATATGATCCATAACCTCTTGAAGCTCAAAGTGTAATTGGGACCCAAACATTAATGAGTTACAAAGGAATTCCAAGAAAAAAACAATTTGGAGTAAATTGCCTAGTTTTGCCCATTTGCAACTTATCTTCCCACCCTAATCCTGAAGCATTCCTCATTTCATGTCCCCTGAACATCAGTAACTTTGACTCTCCTATGGCATTAAGGGTGGCTATTGGTATGGACAGTAATGCTAAGGATTAGGTGATTTTGGGGGAGTATTGGAAATGTACAACTGAGTTGAAGGTGGAAGAAGGTCTCAGAGTTTTACACTGGAATTTTGCACAGAAATTTGAGCTGCAATGTGCAAATTGCTACATTGATGTGCTACAAGGTTGGGAGGCTCTGTAAACTGATAATATAGAAACAAATGTTGGACTCTGATCCTCAGAGCAGTGAATTTAAATCACATGAAAACAGTATTGCATATGTGTGGAGAGGAAGAAAGAGAACCAAGCAATCTCAGAATTCTTTTTTTAATTTTTTTTTTGACATTGATGGGCCTTTATTTTGTTCATTTATTTATATGCAGTGCTGAGAATCAAACCCAGTGCCCCACACATGCTAGGCAAGTGCTCTACCACTGAGCCACAACCCCAGTTCACACAGAGGTACTGTTCACTAGCTAACTGCATGTATTAAAAGTAGAGAGAGTGACTAGGAAGGGTATGAAAGAAAGGACTTTTCTTGAAACACAGAATGACATTTTTTGTTAGACACATTGTTGTTGGCACCAGTCAGGATTTAGATCCTAACAGTGCCACTAACTCTGTGACCTTGGCCAAATTACATAGCCTGGGTTATGACTAAATCTTTCAATCTGTAAAATGGATATTCATATATATTTCATAACATAGTTGTGAAAATCAAATGAGCCACTGACTGTCATACAGTCTCTATTAACAATAAACAAAAAATGGAAACAACTTAGGTGTCCATCACTGATGAGTGGATAAAGAATCTCTCTCTCTCTCTCTCTCTCTCTCTCTCTCTCTCTCACACACACACACACACACACACACACACACACACACATTATTCAGCCTTTAAAAAGGTGACCTTGCCATTTGCCAAACATGGATGAAACTGGAGGACATTATGCTAAGTGTAATAAGCCAAAGACAGAAAAATATTGTTTGAGTTCACATGTGGAATCTAAATAAAAGCCAAATATACAGAAAGAGTAAAACAGGGGCAGGTTGCTGAAGGAAATGCAGAGTTGCAGATCAGAGGATACAAAGTAGGAGATATGTGGGGTGAACAAATATAGAGATCTAATGTATAACTCAGATACTATAATTGATAGTAGTGTATTGTGTTCAGGATTTTTGCTAAATGAGTAGATTACAGTTGTGACGAGGGGGATGGGCAACCATGTGTGATGATGAATATGCTAATTTGATTCACTATAGTAACTATTATACTACATACATATCTCATAATAATATGTTGCATATCTTGAATATACATAATAAAACTTATCTAAAAAGAAATTATTATAGTCTGCCTTCTATTTTTTGATGTGCTGACATTTTGGACTTGATTTTAAGTTGCTGGGGAAAACATTATGTGTTTTTCACATACTAAACTCTTACCCAAACCACAGACACACAGGAAAAAAACCTTATACAAAGACTAAGTGGTTAAAACTGAGTGACCAAATAAAATTTCTTCCTACTTTTAGCTTGCCTATATCTCCATTCTGAATCCATTCTGAAGGATGTGAAAGTGTGAATTAATTTCCTATAAAGAGAACTTTTTCTTCCTGTGTCATAAAAGTGAGAGCATAATCCATTTTCACCTCATTACATTTCAATTGCCTCCTCTATGGGGCATTCACAAGTCTTATCTTCAAGGAAGAACAATTCTTTCAATTCCCTGCTGGAAACTTTTTGTTCAAGTAATTATTTTCAGAAGCAAAACATATAATAAGGCTCTATCGGTTGAATGCTCAGGATTTGGGAAGTCCCACTAAGACTCTGGCTCATCTAGTCCACAAATTTCTTAGAAATGTATGATTATGATTGTCAAGACATCATAATGAAAGGTTCCAGTAGAGACGTATGTTCAATTAAGAAGATGAGAAACTACATTCTTCAAGTTTCCTTATCTTACTTGGCTCTACCTCTGAAGTCTTCTTCATTCTAAACACCTATTTTTTTCTTGTCTTCTCTCTCCCATCTAGGCTCACACTTTTTCTTGCTTCTATGAACTCAGTCAGAATAAAACAAAACAACACAGTAAATGACCTCTTCACCTCTCAAAAGAGAAAGAAAATGTTATGAACTTAATGTGGCAACTCAGTTTTTCTCTCTTACCTGTAAGTATACGTTTTCTGACATTAGCATAAATTTAACAACATTATTTTAGTTAGTATTGCCTGAATTAACTTTTTCTATCATATAATATTCAATCTTTTTGAGTATCTATATTGTTGTACTATACTATCTTTCATAAGTTGCATATAGCTGGAGATTTTTTTTTTTATTTTATAGTTTTTGGCCTGGAGACATTTCTTTTGTAAAAGTGATGGGTATTTTAGGTGTAGTATAATGGTCATTATGTTTAAGTGATGGATTAATTGATGAATTTTATGAAAGTGTTTACCCATGTAACTACTAACATCAAAAGAGACTACTAATTCTAGTGCTCTAGAAATCTCATTCCTGTCCTCTCCCAGTAAATATTCACCATTTATTGTCTATTTAAAAATTTTTTTTAGTTATACATGGACACAATATCTTTATTTTGTTTACTTATTTTTATGTGGTGCTGAAGATTGAACCCAGTGCCTCACATGTGTGAGGCAAGCACTCTGCCACTGAACCACAACTCCAGTCTATTCTTTTAAAGATTTTGAAATATACAAGACATTATTAACTAATGTCACCGTGTTGTACAAGAGGTCTTGAAAAACATCTGGCTTTTTCCATTCAACATTAATGTAAGATCCATCCATGTTGTTACATAGTTAATTCTTTTTCATCACTGTGAGATATGTATTCATATAAATATACAACGCTTTATTTGACCATTTTTCCATTGATTGGCCTTCGTGTTATTTACACTTCGGGGTTATTATAGATAAAGATATTACAAATATTCTTGTATATGGTTTTTTTTTTGGTATTGAACTCAGGGGCAATTGACCACTGAGCCACATCTCCAGCCCTATTTTGTATTTTATTTAGAGGAAGGGTCTCACTGAGTTGCTTAGCACCTTATTTTTGCTGAGGCTGGCTTTGAACTCACAATCCTTCTACCTCAGCCTCCCAAGCCCCTAGGATTACAGTTGTGTGCCACCATGCCTGGCTAC